AGCATAATGTCCTCAAGGGTCACCCATTTTGAATAATATTGCATGAGTTCCTTGTTTTTCAATGCAGCATAGTAATCCATTGTGTGAATATACCACAGCTTCTCTATTTATTCGTTTGTTGGTGGGCACTTAGGATGTTTTCAACTCCTTGCTATTGTGAACAAAGCTGCAATAAACATGGGTGTGCATATATCTGCTTAGAGGTTAGTTATGGTCTCTTTGGGGTATATTCCCAGTAGTGGAATTGCTGGGTCAAATAGTATCTCTATTTGCAACTTTTTGAGAAAGAGCCATACCACTTTTTATGCCACTTTACACTCCCACCAACAGTGAATAAGGGTTCCAGTTTCTCCACAACCTCGCCAGCATTTGCTGCTTGCTGTTCTGTTAAATTTTGCTATTCTTACTGGGGTGAGATGATATCTCATAGTGGTTCTAATTTGCACCTCTCTTAGAGCTAGGGATTTTGAACATTTCTTCATGTGCTTGTTGGCCATTTGAATGTCTTCTTTGGTGAAGTGTCTGTTTGTATCCTGTGCCCATTTTTCTATTGGATTATTTACCGTTATCTTGTTGTGGTGCTCAAGTATTTTATCAATTTTGGATATAAATCCCTTAGCTGATATGTCATTACCAAATACTTTTTCCCAGTCTGTGGCTTCCCATTTTACCCTGTTGGAGAAGTTTTTGGATGTCCATAGGGATTTGATTCTTACAAGATCCTATTCATCTATTTTATCTTCTCCTGGTTATAGGTGTTTCAGGATACTTGGAAGACTTTTTATGTTGTGTATTAGGACTCCTAGTGTTGTTCCTAGCTTTTCTTTAATGAAATTTATAGTCCTTGGTTTTAGTCCTAGGTCCATGATCCGCCCTGATTTGGTTTTTGTATACAGAGTGAGGTGCAGATCTTGCTTGAGTCTTTTGCAGATACTTTTCCAATTTTGCCAACACCATTTGTTTAAAAGGCTGTCATTTTTCCACTTAACTGATTTTGTCTCTTTGTCAAAAATCAGTTGATCATAGATAGATTGGTTGATCTCCAGGTTCTCAATTCTATTCCATTGGTCCATGTGTCTGTCACTGTACCAGTACCATGCTGTCTTTACCACCACGACAGTGTAGTAGGATTTGAAATCAGGGAGTGAGGTACCTCCTACCTATCTTCTATTTTTAAGGAATGCTTTGCTTATTCAGGGCATCTTTCCATTCCAAACGAAACTGGAGATTGCCTTTTCCATCTTGTTGAAGAATGAAATTGGTATTTGTATTGGGATTGCATTAAATGTGTAAATTGCCTTTGGTAGTATTGCCATTTTCACAATATTGAGTCTTCCTTTCCATGAGCAAGAGATATTCTTCCACTTCTCAAGATCTCTTTTTGTTTCTCATAGTAATGTCTTGTAATTTTCTTTGAATAGATCCTTTGTGCTTCTGGTTAAATTTATTCCCAAGTATTTAATCTTGTGATTAGCTATTGTGAAGGGTATTGTTTTTCATAGTTCAGGCTCTGTATTCTCTTTGTCACTATAGAGAAAGTCAACTGATTTTTGTATGTTGATCTTGTATCCTGCCACTTTGCTAAATTGGTTCACTGTGTTCAATAGTTTTCTTGCTGAGTCTTTAGGGTTTTCTAAGTATATTATCATATCATCCGCATAGAGAGATAATTTTACTTCTTCTTTGCCAAGTTGGATACCTTTTATTCCCTTCTCTTGTCTTACTGCTATCGCTAAGACTTCCAAAACAATATTGAATAGGAGAGGTGATAGTGGGCCTCCTTGCCTAGTTCCTGTTCTTAAAGGGAATGTCTTTAATCTCTCTCCATTGAGAACAATGTTGGCTCTCGGGTTTGCATAAATACTTTTTACTATGTTGAAGAAATTCCCCCTCTAATACTATTTTGTTGAGTGTTTTAATCAGGAAAGGGTGTTGGATTTTGTCAAAGGCCTTTTCTGCATCAATTGATAGGATCATATGGTTCTTGTTCTTTGTTAATGTGATGAATTACATTAATTGTTTTTCTTATGTTGAACCATCCTTATAAACTGTATTTCTTAAAAATTTAGAACATCTACTCTTTAAATTATAGAATGAAAACCAAGCCACAATCTAGGAAACAGTATTTGCAAAGCATATATTTGTTAAAGGGTTTACATCAAAAGAATTTGATGAAATTGCAAAGTTAAAAAAAGAAAAAGTATATGGAAATGTGAAGATATATTTTCCCAATTTCTCCTGTTACATAAAACAGAAAACCCTGGACACTGTAAAAACAACATAAAAGGATTATAAGAGGTGTCAAGCGGGTTGCACAATGACCAGAAGCAGCACTACTCAGGAAACAGCATGATGATGAGGTCCTTGAGCTTTCTTTTCTCCTCATACACTGCAGACCTGGAGTCAAAGATGCCAGTGACAAACTAATAGCAATCGGTGCAGATGAAGCCAAGGAAAATCTCACTCTAACTAGCAGATCAGAAGTGGAGCAACCAGCAAGGTAGGAGGAATAGGAGTGCAGAATACCTGGCATGATTCCATTTATGGAAATTTCAAAAAATTCAACCTAATAAGAGATAAGTCTTTAGTTTTTTCCCTCTCTCCTTGATGGCTTTGCCTGTGCTGTCTCTCTTCTGTTTGCATTAAACATATTTTCCCCCCTCAAGGATATTGTTTCTCAGCCTCAGCCCTCTATCTCTACTTACATCCTCTCTTACTGTGATCACTCTCTAGCTTTGGTTACATTTCAGGCTCAGCCCCTATTCTAACCTGCAACTCAGCTCTTCTGCTTAAGCTCCAGACCTTGATCTTAGAGGGCCTTGCGGACATATCATTTTAGCCATCTCATCAGTATCCTTCAAAATGGATCGCACTTCACCTGCCTTCCAGGTGTACTCTTTGTAGAAATGGCACCACTAGGAATCTTGGTGTGCCTTGCTTTTTCACTCCTGTCATCTAGTTTATCACAATGTCTGTTGTTAATTATCTCTGTTGTTGTTTTGTACCACTGAGTTGGAACTGACCCATAGCTGACCCTTCAGTGGGTTTTCAGAGGCAACAGGAGTGACATCCACTTCCTAAACAACATGCCTCTGGAAACTCTGTGAACTTTGAGAAACTATGATAGTTATAGAAAGGCTTTAGATCTTTTGTTCATAGGGTCACTATGAGTTGTGTTTAGCTCCACAGAAATCAATAACAACAACGATCACATGGGAAAAGATTGCCCATTCTTCTCCCTCAGAGCAGCTGGTGGATTCAAACCGCATGCCTTTGGGATTGTAGTGCAGATTCTTACATTAGATTACAGAGCTCTATTATATATTTAGGGAGAATTAGAGGAGCTCTGGTGGCCTAGCGGCAAGAAACTGCTGTAATCGTGAAAGCACATTGTTTGAGGAGGCCACCCCTGTGCAATTAACTGCCTCTGTAAGCCAGAGGGTCAGTCATGGGTCAATTCTGACTCTACAGCACACAACAACAACAATCCAGTCCATAGTCTTTACAGTTACTTGCTATGCGTCAGAAACCTAGACAATGGCTAGGGATGATAGAATGAGAATTGATGCCTTTGAGCTGTGGTGCTGAAGAAGAGTGTAGAATATACCATGAACTGCCAGGAGAACAAACAAGTTCATCCTGGAGAGGGTGAAAACAGCCTACTCCTTGGAAGCAAGGATTCTGAGGCTTTGTCTGACATACTTTTTGGGCATGTTGCAAGGAGGGACCAGTCCTTGGTGAAGGATGTCATTCTTGGGAGGGTGGAGGGACAACACAAGGTTGGGACAGGATAGAGCTGGTTTCAGAGCTGCATAGGGTCGCAAGTGACTCAACAGCACATAACAACAACAACAACAACAACAACAACAAATGCTTTTATTACTTTTTTAAATTCCTGGCATCTGTCATAATGCTAAGCACACACTGTTAATTTACATGTTAATGAATCCAAGTATGAATATCTCACAAACCCATTAAATTCCCAGCATTCTAGATTCCTATTTGATGTCACTTCTGATATTGCAATTTATCAATTTATCTCTCTTATTGTGAAAAAGCAAATTGGGTCATGGCATTTCCCTGCTAAAATTCTTCATTGGCCTCCTGCCTTACCAAGGTCCCCTTTCTTGCATTCTTCCTCCCCTTTCTCTCCAAAGAGAAAACATTTTCATGCTTCTGGCTGTACTTTGGCTATCTCTTCCTCTGAGCAGCTCCCCACCATCTTTCTTCTCCTGAGTATATTACAACATTCTTTGTCAAGTCTCTCTACTTGATTGGGAACCCCTGCAGCTGCCTCATTCCTAACATATGGTGTTCATTTAATTAAGATTAAAGAAGGAGTAAAGAGAGCTAGTAGGTGCAGTGTCAAGCTGCTAATCAGAAAGTAGTCACTTCAAACCCATTGCCACTTTGTGGGAGAAAGATAGGTGGTCTCTTTATATAAAGATTTATAGCCTTGTGGTTTTATTTGGTTGGAGCAAGGACAGGAATTGATGAATGGCCAAACTAAAGTGACAGCCACTGTACTGTGTTATAAGCATATTTCTTTTTATCTGTTGAGAGTCTTCCTTTCTTTTTAAAAGCACATTTAATGGATTTAATTCAATGTCATATTTAGAATATTTTATTTATTCTAATTTTAGATTGAAGAAGAAATAAAGGAATGTTTGCAGTTCTTGCAATTTGTTTACTCAACGCTTGGTTTCACCTTTCAATTAAATCTGTCTACAAGACCTAAAAATTTCCTGGGAGAGACTGAGATGTGGGATCATGCTGAAAAGGTAAGGAGAAACAGAGTGCTTATCCTTTATTTTTATAGTTTGGAACATTCCTGAGTGGCTACAGTTACCTTATATGAGGCTCCAATATTTAATAAAACTAGAAATTGTACAATAAACAGGCAGTTTGTATGCCGTGACTACTCAGGTTTCTTCATTATTGTTGTTATGTACCATTGAGTCAGAACTGACTTATAGATGATGCTCTAGCAGATTTTCAGAGCAGTAAGTTACACAGAAAGAGACTGCCCATCTTTCTCATGCAAAGCAATTGGTGGATTTGAACTGAATAACTCCTTACCACTAGGCCATCAGAGCTCCCAAGTATTCTTCACAGCAGTCAGAGTAATACTTTACATTTGTTTCTCACTTTACATTTTTTATTTATGCTCTTTCAGATTTTAATTCATACTCTTTCAATGCTGGTCATTGATAACTAATTTCATATTTTTAAAAATGTATCTGATTTGAAATAACTCTTGGCTTTGAGTTTTACTTTAAGCTATTGTCTGTTGAGTCCTAATAGTATAACTCATAGAATCATGGGGTTGCATATCCTAGGTCTGGACATACACATCTAATGCTCAAACGCCATCCACAATAAAGGCATATAGTGCTCCCCTATCTGTCTCAAGTTCCCTAGAGACTCAAATGTCATGTGTCAGCTTTGAGAATGCAAGAATGATGAACTGATTATATTTTCCTCCTCATTAAATGTGAAGGGATATAGTATTTATGTTGGGGCCATTTTTGTTAAAACTAAAAAAGGAAGTATTGCCAGGCAGACCTGCACTATCAGAGCTTTGTCCTACTTTGTCACTTTTCCTCATGGGATCCTCACAAAAGTTGTACATAGGGGGCAAAATGGAATAAGAGTCAGATAACACTTTGTGCAGGCACCTTTACTTATGTTATTAGTAAGTGTAAAGGTCAAGCAGAGGCCTTTGAGGCTTGCTATCTAAGTATGGCCTTCTCTACCCTACTATCTCATCTCTACTTAAAGTCTCATTTCATGTCCACTGCATGGAGTAAGAGATTTAAGTAATATAGGCTACCTTGAGAAAGACTGACTCCATTTACCATAACCATATAGAAACAGGATGAGGAAAAAGACACAAAATTTGCCTTTGAACTATTTTGTCTTGTCTCAGAGTTTAGCATTGTAAGTGAAGTTGTAACCACTCTGTGCTTCAGGATGTGCATCTGTAAAATGATAATAATGATGTGATGATAACCTGCTTCAGACAGCCATAGTGATTAAATGAAATCATTTATGTGAAGTACCTGGCAAAGCACCAAATGTGTGAAACCCACTATTGATTCTGTTTCATAGTGATTCTACATCAGGTTTCTGAGGCTATGAATCTTTAAGGAAGTAGACTGCCCATCTTTCTCCCATATAGTGGCTGGGAGAAGTGAGCTGCTGACCTTTTGGTTAGCAGACTCATGCATTATGCACTACCCCACCAAGACTCCTTCAGGAATATGTTAATACTCAGTAAGATGTTACCTGTTGGTATTATTGTTATTTTTACCATCATCATTTACATTCCTCTATTCATTTGGGGCAGTGTAAGATATGGGGAGTTAAAAAGGGAATAGACCAGGGATATGACTAGCATGGGAAGAATAGGCTCAAAAGTTCTGTATTGTTTTTTCCTCTTTTAATGTTCTTGTTATATGCCATCAGGTCACCTGTGACTGATAGTGACTCTAAGTGCAACAGCTCTACAGGCTCTGACCCCTGCTCTGTCCTGAGCCAATCTCACTGATTCCAACACACCAACCTCCATTGCCCCAGTCACTGTATCAATCTATCTCATCTGGGGTCTTCCTCTCCTGCACTGTCCCTTCTCCCTTCTGAACATGATGGATGTCCTTCTCCAAGATCAGTCCCTCCTGGCATATGCCTGAAGTATGTGAAACAGAGCTTGAAAACCCTAGCCTCTGAAGAGAAACTTGATTTCACCCTCTCCAAGACAGACCTATTTGATTTCCTGGTGGTCTTAAGTAATTTAACAGCAAAGTACTGGGTCATAAAGGATTGTGACTTCAGGGGATGGACTTGTTCCACCCTTGGAAGGATTTCCAAGTTTTTAATTCTTAGTTCAAGAATCAGTGAGCAGAACATTTGTTTAATTTTTACAATTCTCTGAAATGGTTTGAAGAGGTAGTAAGATTTCTGGGTAAGAAAAAAAAAGATTCCTGGGTAAGATAGTGGAGTAAACAAATGGCAGTTCAGGTCTTTTTCACCAAAGAAACCAGAAAGCAAATCTAATCCTATAAACCTGAGATTGAAAAGGAAGAACTGAGGAAACATGGAGTAATAAGACAAATGGATACAATACCATAAACAGCACAACATGACCATTTCCTGCTGTTAACTGGACACAGAAAGAAAACGGGAACATGAGGAAATGAATTCTGAAAAAGAGAAATGCTAAGACAGAGATCCTTCCACAGCTTAAGACTGTGAAAGGCCTCTTTTTTAGTTTCCTGTGGTTTTTATTTAGTTTGAATCAACAATAAAAAAAAATTCCTATCTCGTGAGGCTCTATTTTCCTTACACGTAAGTATTGCCAACATAAAAATGGGTACGCTTAACTCTTAAACCAAGAGCAGTATGATTCCCTCTGGTGGGAGGCTGGGTGGAACCTTCTGTTTGCAGAGGGCATCCAGTATCTCCTCCCAGGACCTGGGCAGAATTCTCTATTTGCAGAGGGCACCAAGTCCAACCTGGACTCTGATCTAAAGTAGCAGCCCAGCTACCACTATGCTGAGCACAATTTCCAATAGCTGTTTACTTGCTGTAGGAACCCAGGCAATATCCACTCCAGTGGCTAGCTGATGGAAAAGTGATGCTCTTCTTCCTTATCCCCCACGTGTTTCTGGAAATCATTGTAGTGACTTTCCCACCCATCCAGTGGTTGGTGGTGTTACCTGGCCCATCTCAGCTCTGGCACTAACTGGGTGTCCCACCTCCAGCCACAAAGACCACACTACCACAATGTCTAGGAGACAATAGATAACTTGAAAACAGTAAAAATACCTAGAATAAGACAGAACAAAAAAGAAACCAATGTATAGAGGTAGAAAATCAGAGGGAGGAATGGTTACTGGAATGTTCTGGAAAGGAATTAAAAAGAATGATAGTTAAGGGTCTTGTAAAGATAGAGAAAAACACAGAAAGTGAAAAAAATTAAAATAAAAATAGCAAGACAAATAGGTAAAATAAATGGATAATTAGATGTCATTTAAAAATTGTTGTTGTGTGTACTATTGAGTCAGAAATGACCCATAGCTCACCCTATAGTGGGGTTTTCAGAGGCTTAAATCACAAAGCATGGAGACTGTCTATCCTTCTCTGGTGGAGCAGCTGGCAGATTTGAACCACATGCCTTTAGGATTGCAGCACAGACTCTTACCACTAGGCCACCAGAGCTCCTAAAGAAAAAGAAATCAGTTCCTTAGTCACACTAGCCACATTCAATTTCTTTCCAGTTATATGTGACTGTTACTGTTATTTTTGTTTTCCACTGAGTAGGAACTTACTCATAGGTGGCCCTCTGGGAAGAGTGAATCACATGGAAAGATTGCCTATCTTTCTTCCATGGAGCAACTGGTGGATTTGAACTGCATGCCTTTGGGATTGCAATACAATTTATGACCATTAGGCCACCAGAGCTCTATTAACAGCAACAACCACAATTTAAAAATAACAAAGTGATATTCAGACTATTAAGATTAAAATGCCAATATTGATAACACATTGAAAGACAAAAGAGCAGAATTTAAGAACTGGAACATAGATTTAGTGAACTGGAGGACAAATACCTCAATACTAATCTGTTAGATGAACAATAATAAAAAAGAAGAATAGAAAATTTTAAAAGCATATTAAATACGTAGGACAACACATGACTTACATGTGACTGGAATCTCAGAAAAAGAAGAAACTAAAAAATGCACAGGGCAAATTGTTAAAGTTTGCTGCTAGAAAATTTCACAAACATTATAAAAAGTAATAAAATATGCGTATTTAAGAAACTAAACCAACCTCAAACAGAATAGATCTCAAGAGAAAAACACTAAGACATATTATAAACAAGTTTTCCAAAATGAAAGACAAAGGAAGATCACTGAAAGAAGCTCAGGAAAAAGAAAATAATCTACAAAGGAGAAACAATAAGAGTAAACTCTAATTTCTTAGTAAAAATTATGCAGGTATGAAGGCAGTGGGATGCCATATATAAAAGTTCTGAAAGAAGATAAAATTTCCAACTAGGAATTATACCCAGAAAAAAAGGTCCATTAAATATGAAGGTCAAATTAGGACAATTACAGATAAACAGAGAGAATTTGCAAAACTTAAACCAACTCTGCAAAAAATCCTAACAAAAAATAAATAAAAATCAATATATATGATGTCCTCATTTAAAAACTGATGCAGGCACAGAAATACACAAAGTATGTAAAGCATATCAGATTAAAATAGGAAACTAGAGGGAACATTACATAAATGAGGATAAATACAATGGAAAAAGAGGATATAAAAAATATAGTTACAGAACTTCTAAATATAGAAGTTATCCTTAAAATAAAATGAATTGTTTTAGATATCAGAATAAAAGAGGAACTTAGATTAACTTTCAAGACAATTAGTGAACCTCCTCATTAAAATAAAAGACAACCTAATGACTTAGTAACCCTCCCCCAAATAAAACAAAAATGAGCTCAGCACAAAAAACAAATGGAACAAAGATATCAGCAACATCACAGAGTGCAGAAAAACAGCAGCAATAAAACTATCATCTAGCAAAAATTATATTGAATGTGTTGTTGTATTTGTTGATTGCCATCTAGTTGAGCATGTCTCATAGTAACCCTATGAACAAAAGGCCTGAAGCCTTTCTATAACTATAGTCAGTTATCAAAATTCATACTGAATATAAGTGGACTAAATACACCAGCCAAGAGAAAAGAGCAGGAGAATGGATGAGAAA